GGTCCCTGTGCTTTAGCTTAGTTTGTTTTAGGTAGGTGCTTTAGACCACTGAGCCATCTCACCAGCCCTAGAGTGATTCGTTCTAATAGTGTTTGTAAATAGGATATCATGTCTGCATCTTGTACAGCAAATAGCCACTAGGAAGAGAGTATGCAATATGTTAATTATTATTATTGTTATTATTATTTGCGGAACTGGGGACTGAACTCAGGCCCTTGCACTTGTCAGGGAATGTGTGTTAATTATTGAAACTGTCATACCAATTTGATTTGAAACTGTCTCATTGTTATTTGTCTCTCAATAAAATTATGGGAAAAAAAAAAAACATGGCACAGAAGGTGAAGAAAGAAGCCTCCGCTCCTCCCAAAGTTGGAGCCAGAGCAAAAGCTCTGAAGGCCAAGAAGGCCGTGTGGAAAGGCCTCCACAGCCACAAAAAGAAGATATGAACGTCGCCCACCTTCCGCCGTCCCAAGACGCTCCGGCTCCGGAGGCAGCCCAAGTACCCTCGGAAGAGCGCCCCCAGGAGAAGCAAGCTTGACCGCTATGCCTTCATCAAGTTCCCCCAGCCACAGAGTCAGCCATGAGAAAGATCGAGGACAGCAACACACTCGTGTTCATTGTGGGTGTCAAAGCCAAGAAGCCCCAAATCAAAGAAGCTGTCAAGAAGCTCTATGACATCGATGTTGCCAAGGTCAATACCCTAATCAGGCCTGATGGAGAGAAGAAGGCGTATATTTGACTGGCTCCCAATTATGATGCATTGGATGTTGCCAACGAAATTGGGAGGAACTGGGATGAGCTTGGGAGGAAGTGGACTCATCTGAGTCCAGCAGGCTAATTCTAAATATATACTTTTTTTCCCAGTTAAAAAAAAAAAAAAAAGCGCTGGCCAGATAGCTCAGCAGACTAACGTGCCTGCTTAGGCAGAGTGCAGGGGCTGGGGTTTGATCCCTTGCATGCCGTGCAAGCCCCGTGTGGTGGCACATGTTTGTAATCCCAGCACTTGGGAGGCTGAAAACAGGAGAATCGCTGAGTCCGATCTATGTCATGAGACCCTGTACTAAAATACATTAAAAAAAAAATAGGCCATATGTGTCGCATGTATAGATCACAGTCATCGTGGGGAGTCTGTACCTGCAGATCCCTCAAGGTTCCTTTTTCCATCTCCGCCCATCCTTTCAACCCTTTCCCCTTCTCCATTCACAACACCTTTGCTTCTATTTGTTCTGTTCTTCTTCCCTTGCCGCCTCTCCTCACCCTCGTCCCCTTTCCACTTGAACAGGTCCTTCCTGCTTTCAGTATCTGTCCTCCCTCGTGCTCCTCATTTATCGTTTTGGGTTTCTCATGAAAGAGAAAAAAACGTGGTATTTAAACTTCCGTGTCAGGGGCCGGGGACATGGCTCAGTAGAATAAGTGCTTGTCTGGCAAGCTCAAGGGCCTGAGTTCAATCCCCGGTTCTGCCAAAACAACAACAACAAAAACCCCCCTATCTGGTTTATTTCACTTAAGATAGTCCTGAGGTCCATGTGTTTACCCAGAACAACTCAAGTTTACCATTGTTTATGGCTGAATAGTGCTCCATTGTATGGAAATGCAGGATCTTTATCCATCCCCGGCTGGCGGAGATCCGGCTACTGCAGACTGCCACTATAAACATGGGTGTGCTTCTGTCGCTGTGGGGTGATACTTTGAGCTCTTTTGGGAAGATAAGCAGAAGGAGAATAGCTGGGCGCAATGGAACCTCCCGTGTCAGTGTTTGAGGAATTCCCACACTGATTTCCACAGTGGTTGTACCAATCACCTACACTTCCACAGTAGAGGGGGGTTCTTGTTCCCCCAAAGCCCCACCAATTTGTTTTTGGGCAGTAAGGCTGCCTGGCTGGCTTTCTTTCTTTCTTTTTTTCATTTGTTCGTTCTTTCCTTCTTTCTTTCTTCATGGTGAGACTTCTCACCATGTAGTCCAGCCTGGCCTTGAACCCACAGCGATGCTCCTGCATCAGCCTCCCAAGTGCTGGGGACCTTGTCTTTCTTGCTCCCCACCCCCAGCTGGGCCGCAGACCTCTGGCTCGCACACGTAAGGCAAGGGCGCGGCCCCCGAGCTACACCCCTGGCCTCGATGGTAGTGGCCGGGGCCTGCAGGGCACGGCCGTGTCTGAACTCCCAGGACGCTCTCGGCGGCGATTGGGACTCAGCAGCGGCTGAAGGCAGCGAGCCAGCCCTCGCCCCCTGACTGACAGGGAGGCTGCGCTTCCTGCGTCCGGAGCCCCACTGGGAGAGAGAGCCAGGCGCTGGAGAGTATTTCCCTACGTGTGCTTCATTCAGAAAACCCCCGCTGCCTGCAGGCTCTGCTGGGAGCGGCTGGAGCGCGCACGCACGGTGGCCGCCGCAGAGCGCGGCCTCTCTCTCGGCAGCCCCGCGCTAGCCGGCGCTCTGCCCGCGGGGCCACTCCCGAGAGCCTGGCCCAGACCGCATATTAGCGTTGTTTTCAACCCTGCCAATCAGATAAGTGACATACACCTGCAATCAGAGAAATGAGGCCTGCCTGCCAATCAGATAAGCAAAAAAAAAATATGATCCCATGAGTGTCGGAGCGAGCCGCCCGGTCTCGCGCATGCTAGGCGGGTGCTCCACCGGAGCTGGCTCCTAGTGCTCGTTCTGTTCCGGTTTCTGCGGAACTGCTGGGCTGTCCACTGCACCACAGGGAAGGATGCCTGTACATGATCTTTCTTGCTTCTTTTTCCCTCATTCCCCTCCTCTTCCTTTAATTCCTCTTTCTCTCCTTAGTTACAAAAGCTTTGTTTCCATTTTTTTCTTTTTTTCTTGGTGGAACCGCGCCTTGCGTTTGCCAGGCAAGCGCTTGTTCTACTGAGTTATCTCCCCGGCCCCTCCGTTTTTTCTTTCTGTTCTCTCTTTTCTTGTCCCTTCTTTACTTCCGCTCCCCCTTCCTTTTTGTCTCTTTCTGGCTTGAAAACGTACCGGTTTGGAACGGGCTGCAGCTAGAATCGAACCCTCAGCTTACTCCAGAACTAGCAGGCACACTTTAAGAATTGGCCATGACGTCATCCTGCTGACGCTGGCCCCGCCCCTTAACTGTGCCCGTCCCCGAAACTACCTTTCCCAGAGGTCATAGCGGCTAGGACCCGTTCTTATTGGCTATCCAATCGGCCCCACCCCAGTTCCCGCCCTGTCGCCGGCTTCCGGAGTCCCGGCAGACGCCGGCGGCTTCCCCGCGTGGTTCTCGCTGCTGCCCTCCAGGGTCTGAGCCGCTTCCTAGTCCCCGCCGGCATGAACCGCTACCTGCTGCCGGTGTCCGTGCTGGGCACCGCGGTGGGCGGCGCCGTGCTGCTGAAGTGAGTGGGTGCGGACGGCGTGCGCGCAGGGACGGGCCTGTCCCCAAGGGTCGCAGTCCCCGAGGGTCGCAGTTCCCGAGGGCCGCTGATCCCCGAGGGTCGCCCGTCTCGGTCCTCGAGTCCCGGTCCGGCCTGGTGTCGTATCCCAGCGAGGAGGCGGCGTCCGGCACGGGCGGCCAGGCCCGGCCCAAGGTCACCTGGCTCCTCCTGCAGGACTTGTAATTCATTCGTGAACCCACCTAGCAAATGCCACTGATCACTTCCCGCGCGGACCTGTGGCTGGAGCAAGGAAAATGTGGGTCGCTTCAGCTCCACCCGAAGTGGCAAGAAAGGGAATTGCACAACTCACTAACGAACAGGGTCCCGTGCGTGCACGCAGATCTATGGTGTCCCTTTTTTCTCCTCCTCCCTTTCCCGAGAGATGGGATTCTATCGAATGTGCGGAATAGTACCGTATGCCCTGTCCTGCAGCCTTTTCCTGTAAACTTAGCCGGTGCGTGGATCCCACGCGTATCCGCCAGGGAAACGAGTCCTTCCACGGCTCTGTGTACTTTGAATTTCTTTCCGTTTCACCTTTGATTCCGTGTTAAAGGTGCACGTTGATACGTGCTTTTGCAGTCTTGGATGTTGTAGTTTCATCCCGTGGCCACAAGGTGGCCCATGCCGCCTAGTAAGGCTTTTGGTTGGTGGTCCTCTTTTTGCGGTTAGAACTGGCAGGGAGTGAATGTAGGTGGTGGAGGATACTTGCTAGCCTCTTCAGCAGCGGAGATGTGGACAGGAAGGCACGTGTGGAGTTAGCGCTTTGAACTGAAGGCATCTTGGCACATCTGTGAGCTTGAATGGCAGCTGCTGGTTTCTTACCCTGAACCCCAATCCTGAGCGCTAGCTGTGCTTTTGTACAACGCTCAGGATTAAACCTAGGGCCCTGCCCCTGCTAAAAAATGCTCGACTGCCGAGCCACACCTCCAGCTCATTATTAAGAAATCCTTTCCCCTGTGAGCAAAGGCAAAAACAGCATTTCCGCGGAATCTGTGTTTCTTTAGGTCCTGTGAAGACGACCCCTCTGGGAGCGCCCCTCGGGCCACTCCGGGTGTCCCGCCCCACCCGGAGTGTGGGCAGGCCCTGGGGGACAGGGCTGAGCCACCAGGGGCTGTGCCTGGCAGGGGAACTTCAGCAAGAGGATCTGACTGTTTTAGTGAGGTCTGTCTGGTCGAGATGTAACAGCGAGGGAAGGGAGGCTGCCACCCAGGTGTGGATGAAAGGAAGTCGCCGTGGACAAGGCTTATGCAGTCATTAAGGGGACGAAGAATGATGAGCGGGGTGCTCAGATCGGCAGAGCACTGAGGCGGACAACAGATTGTTGGCAGGGCTGGCAGGGTGGTCGTGCGGGCCTTCAGCTTACAGAGTTACAGAGGTGGGGTGGTGGTGCCACGTGGATGGGTCACATCATGAGCGTATTTAGTGGCATCTAAGTGTCTGCTTTAAGTGTGGCAGCAGGGTGTGGCGGCGCACGCTTGTAATTCTAGCACTTGGGGAGGCTGAGGCGGGAGGATCACAGGTTAGCCCAGCCTAAGAGAGAGCTCTCTTTCTCTCATGCTACGTGTTTCTTTCTTTTCGAGACAGAGTTTCTGTGTAGTGTGGGCTGCCCTTGAACTTGCTTATGTAGCCCATAGCATAGGCTGGCCTCACACTCATGACAAGAGTTATGGAGCTGGGGTGATGGTGCCTACAAGTTTCGAATTATGTTGTAGAGATAAATGTATACAGTTTTCGTCAATTGAAATATACATCTAGTACAAGGTGGGTGAGGTGGTGCACACCTGTAATCCTAGCACTGAGGAGACTGAGGCAGGAGGATTGCTGTGAATTTCAAGGCCAGCGCCGACTGCATAGTAGGCTCAAGGCTGGTCTGATGTACACTGCAAGACTGTCACAATACAAACAAGAATTTAGTGGTGCAAATACTGAGCACGCGCAGCTACTGTGATCCGCTTGTCTAGCAGTGAGCGGCAGTTGATTGGCCTGGGTTAGATACTGCCCTGACCTTGCTGGCCCAGCTTTGGGGCATGCCCTTGCCTGACCATGGCCTCTGCAGGTCCCTGGCAGAGCACCACGGTCCCCTCACCCATCCCCCGCCTCAGGCTGAGCCCTCCTGGGGGCAGTGATGTTCTGAACTCAGCCTTGCGCAGGGACCTGTGGGGCGCTGTTGTCCCTCAGCGTCACTCTGCTGTGGAGTCCTCTCCCAGGCACACTGTGGCCCACAGCCTGTTGTTGTAAATGAAGCTTTATTGGCATATCACTATGTCCATTTGTTTCGTGATGATGTATTCCTTTACTGACAGTTTTTACTGAGGCCTGGACACTTCACTTTAAAACAGTTAAGACGTGACAGCAGACAGCTATCCGGAGCCACAGCGGCTCCATGTGGCAGAACTTGCTGAGGCGATGGGAGCGTGCTGTCCTAATGCTGTCCGTGGCTGAGTCCTCATCACATAAACATAATTAATTGAAACGATCCTCGAGCTGGTGCCTGTTCCCAGGCCTCACGAGATGGCCCAGGCTGGCCTCAGACTCATGGTGATCCTCCCGTCTCAGCCGCATGAGCGCAGGCACGCAGCACCACACCCAGCATGATTTTGTGTGCTCTTGAGGTCTTCATTCTGTTTATGGCCGTTTGTTCTAGCAGCCATAGGAATAGTCATTCACATGTGGCGGGTGTGCTTGTCCCCTTGTTTCTTTCTTTTTGAGACAGTCTTACTATGTAGTGTGGGCTGCCCTTGAACTTACTTATGTAGCCGAGGCTGGCCTCAAACTCATGACAAGCCTCCTTCTTCAGCTCTCCCAAGTGTGGGGATCGCAGGTGTGCACCACCCCATCTGGCTACACGTTTCGAATCAGGTTGTAGAGATAACAGGCAGACCCCAGGCTGAGCCTCTACCGAGGTCCCAAAAGGGCCTTCCCAGTCCTCATGGTATCATCTGTATCTCCATCTTTCAGTTGGGCCCTGATTGCATGGGGTGGGGGGCACCCAGGTGGAGTGGCCTAGAACTGACAGCACTCTTTCTCACTGCCAGGGACTATGTCACTGGGGGCACTTGTCCCAGCAAGGCCACCATCCCCGGGAAGACGGTTATCATTACAGGCGCCAACACGGGCATCGGGAAGCAGACCGCCCTGGAACTGGCCAGAAGAGGTAGCGTCCCCTACTTTGTGCTGGAGGAGTAGGTGCCTGAGCACTGCGTCGGTGGCAACAGTGACCACGGTGGTCCACGTGTGGGAACAGCACAGGCCTGTCCCCAGGTGAAGGGATCAGCAAAGTGTGGCCTGGAATATCACTCAGCCCCGTAAAGGAAGGGCATTCAGACCCACGTGGCACCACGACAGACCCGAGGGTGTCAGGCTCAGAGAGATAGTGCAGATGTGGCCCGTAGGGGCCCGGCCCAGAGAGACAGGACGTGGAGGGTGGATGCGGGGCTGGGGCAGCAGGGAGCCAGGGTCAGGGTGCGGGGTCTCTGCTGGGGAAGGGAAAATGTTCTGGAGCTGCATGGGTCACCGGGCGCGCTGCAGGGTAAATGTGCTCCGCGCTGCCGCAGCGGACACCGTCTCTGTCACCTTCTCCCTGTGGGGACAGGGTGCTTGGTACTGTAGCTTCAAAGAGCTGAGGCCTGTGTTGGATCCCGGCCTCAGTCCACAGTCCGCTGGCGCCCACGCAGAAGCAGGATGGCCGAGGGGCCTGCGCTCAGCCCATGGAGGCCGGGAGCTGGAAGTGAAGGGTGCAATGGGGGGCAGGGAGGTAAACCCCTCTGGGTCTTGCCCCGGGGCCCCCTCCAGTTAGGGTCGGCGGGTCAGCCCAGACTCATCAGCGGGTGGACCGGAGCGCAGTACCCACACATCCAGCCGCCTTCCACATGAGAAAATTTTGGTGCATTTTATTTATTGTTTATCTTTTTGTTTTTTTTTCCCTTCTTTTTAGTATGCAGTCAAGCCTGGCCTTGAACTCACTATGTAGCCCAGGCTGGGCTTGAACTTGTTGTGGTGAGCCTTCTGCCTCAGCCCCCTGAGTGCTGGGCTTATAGGCATGGGCCAACGCTCCTGGTTTAATTACAAGATTTCTAACGGATTTATTGAGATGTGCAGAAGGTCCCTAACATGCGATGATTTGCTTTGCCTTTTTTCTTTTTGGTGGTGATAGTGGAGATGGAAGCCAGGGCCTCTGCACTGAGCTACGCTCCCAGTTCTTTTTGTTTCCAGACAGTATCTTGCTAAGTCACCAAGTGTCCCAGGCTGGACTCGAACTTGGAATCCTCCTGCCTCTGCCTGGCAGAGTGCTGGGGCTGCAGTCGTGCCGGCTGCTTGGTAGTGTTTTCGGTGTGGGACCGTTTTGGTTTCGCGGCTTTACCAGGATGTAAACGCCCTGTAAGTCCCGGAGCGCCTTAATCCACCGCCGGGTGAGCGCCTGCAGTGCATGCTTCAGTGACCGAGCGCTGTCTCGGTGACGTGGCGCCTCACCGGTCAGTCTTGGACGTTTTCATCCCCGCAGGAGCCGGTCCCCTGCAGCTGTCCCGGCGGCCCAGGGAGCCGCCCAAAGGGACTTGCGCAGTATGTGGCGTGTGCCAGTGCTCTGTGCCAGTCAGGGCTGAGGGTCGCTGTAGGGGTGACAGCGCCTGGTGGCCCGTCGCCTCGTGGCGGGACACTGCCTGTCCCTGCCCTTGACCGATGCCGCCCACCGTGGTGAGGTTTGTGTGGCATTTCCGTTTCCATCGAGTAGACAGACGCCTGATGGCAGCTTTTTCTCTCCTTTTGTTTTCGCTGTTTCCCTGTCCTGGCTTCCAGGAGGCCGCGTCATCCTGGCCTGCCGCGACATGGAGAAGTGCGAGGCCGCGGCCAAGGACATCCGCGGGGAGACCCTCAACCCCCGCGTCTGCGCCCGGCACCTGGACCTGGCTTCCCTCAGGTCCGTGCGCGAGTTCGCCAAAAAGATCATCAAAGGTAGTGGAGGGGCGGCCTGCCCGGCGGGTCTGCAGGTGGCTGCCGGCTGGGCTGCGGCAGCCAGGGACACCTGCTGCCTGGCTTTAAAATTTAATTTAGGAGGGGGTCCGGGGAGATGGCTCAGTGGAATAAGCGCTTCTCTGGCAAGTGCAAGGGCTTAAGTTCAATCCCAGGTTCCGCCAAAAGAAAAAAAAAAAAATTAATTTAGGGGACTGGGAGATAGCTTAGTGGAATAAGTGCTTGCCTGGCAAGCACAAGGTCCTATTTGATCCCTGATACCACTAAAAGAAGAAAGTAAAATTAATTTATTCTTATTCTTATTCTTATTATCCTTATTATTACTGTAGTAGTGGGGATGGAACCTAGAGCCTTCACACTGAGCTATATTCCCAGCCCTCTTTTTGATTTTTATTTGAGGCAGGGTCTTACTAAGTTACTGAGTTGCCCAGGGTAGGCTTGACCTCGAGGTCCTCCTGCTCAGCCTCCTGTGGCCCTGGGGTTATGGGCCTGCAGCTGTGCACCAGGCTCCTTCCTAACATGTTTGTGTATTCATATATTTTCATACAAAACTGGGCCTATATTCTACATACACTTTTATTCTTGTCATCTTAAGATGAATTTGAGAGGGCCGGCCATCTAGTTCAGCAGATTAAAGTGCCTGCCCAAGCAGACGTGGGGCCGGGGTTTGATCCCTGGCGTGCCATGCCGGCCCCACACTGAGACAGCGATTCAGGCTGGGCGTGGTGGCGCGCGCCTGTAATCCCAGCGCCTGGGAGGCTGAACACAGGAGGATCACTACGAGTCCGATCTGTGCAGTGAGACCCTGGAGACCCTGTACTAAATACATTAAAAAAAGTGAACTTGAGAACATCATTTTTTTTTTTTTGAGAACATAATTTTAAAACATTTAATTTTAGATAAAAATTGTATCTGGGGCTGGAGAGATGGCTCAGTGGTCTAAAGCACCTACTTGGAACAAGCTTGGCAAAGCACAGGGACTGCGGTTCAATCCCCAGCACCACATGCCAGCCAGCCCGCCCCCTGGTGGGCTGAGCTGGCCACACACACACACACACACACACACACACACACAAAATAAATGTTAAAATAAAAAAAAAAAATTGTATCAATGGTACCCAGCATGGTGTTTTGAAATGCATACATATATATAATAATTGTTATTTTCATTTTATGTATTTGGTACCGGGTCTCACCTCGCTCTTCACCCTTGGGTGGTCTGCTTCCTGGGTGGTCCCGGGCTGGGTTTGGCAAGCTTGCTTGCATGCAGCAGCCCTGATTGAAAGGTGGAGGAGGACAAAGCTGTGGAGGCTCATATATCAAGAGCCTTGTCAGGCTGGGCGTGGTGGCCCTCGCCTGTCATCCCAGCACTCAGGAGGCTGAGGCAAGAGAACCGCTGAGAGCGCAAGGCCAGCCTGGGCTACATAGTGAGTCTGAGGCCAGCTTGAACTGCATAGCGAGACCCTGACCCCCAAAACAGAAAACAAAGCAACAAGCAAGCAAAACAAAACAAAACAAAATGGCCATTTTCTGAATCCCTGATCGAGTCCTGGTTGTCATGGGGATGGGTCAGGGCTGTGCTGGAAGAGCAGGAGGGAGGCATAGGTGCCGCCCCATGGCCCACCCACCCTGTGCCTGTGGGACCCAGTGAGGGCGTTACCTGGCACTGTGCTCACAGGCACTTAGGGCATTGAGGGGCAGCACCGTCAGGCCTAGCGGGTGGACAGAGAGCATCAATTAAGTGCTTCCTGTGTGCTGGGACGAGTGCTGCCCCTGACGCACTGTCCCACCTGACTCCCGAAAGTCCCTCTAGCCCTGGATACCTAAGTCCTGAGCGCTTAGCTCCAGGGCATCTTGGGACAGCAGGGACCTGAGGCCGACACCCTGGGCAGGTGCTGTCTCGCTGGGCCAGGTGTGTTCCTCTGGAGATGAGTTAATACTTTTTGAGCCAGAGTCTTGCTGTGTAATTCAGGCTGGCCTTGAACTTACGGAGACCCTCCTGCCTCATCCTCTGGAGCGCTGGGATGACATGCGTGTGCCACCATCCCAGGTGGAATAGTTTATGTCATATATTTTACCCCATTGAACACAAGCAGGGGTGGGGTGCTGCTCAGCAGAGAACCCACCTAGCATGCAGGAGGGCCTGGGTTCCACCCTCTGACTGGGGAACAGCAAGGCTCTCCCAGGTAAAGCACAACATAGTCCTGGCTGAGAGGCGCTCAGGGCCTCGGCCCGTGCTGGGGCCTTGGCCTGGATCCCTTCCTGGGGCTCACGTGGTCGCCCCGCCTTGTCCTTCTGACTACCCAGCACCCACAGTTGTCTTGATGTCTGCTTCCACGGCAGCTGTTCCACTTGATGTTACCCTGTGCCTTTCTGTCCCTGGGCCACACCAGGGTGATGCTCCACAGGGTGGCCCTGACTGGCTCGTCCTCCCTGTATTTCCAGTGCGCAGGAACTAGGGCTGAGGAAATGCCTGTTGCAAGGATAGTGATTATACGTTTCTGCTGGGCAGGTGCTGTTGTCCTTTTACATGGGGGAAACTGAGTCACTGAGAAGCTACATGCCGGCAAGGTGCTGGCCGAGCCTCCTCCCTCCTGGGACTGTGTGCTGGTGGGAGAGGTGCGGGCACTGACTCCTTGCGCCTTCCCACACCCGAGAGTGGTGTGGGTTCAGTAGTGTCACCCTGGCCCCTGGCCCCAAGCTTGTGGCCTCATGGGACGTGGGGTTTGTACAGAGCCAAGTTAAGTTGTGTGTGTGTGTGTGTGTGTGTGTGTGTGTGTGAACTTGGGATGCAGAGACACTCAGAGGAGGAGACAGGAAGAGAGTGGCGAAGGTGGCATTGTGCCAAGGAGTGCAGGAGCCAGCCCTGCCCCCTCCCCCCCCCTTGGTGTCTGCCCCTGGATGGGACTGTGGTCTCAGCCACTCCTGTGTGGCCCCATGTCGGGCAGCTGCGTCCAGAAGGGGCGCTGTGGCTCGTTTGACCTGAGGGTCCCCAGTAGGGAGTGGCCCGGGGCCTCAGCTCCCTGGAGTGCCCCACTTGGGCTCAGGAAGGCCTTTGCGCGTGTCAGGGAGTGTGTTTGTCCCCGGCTGCCAGCACTCCGGGCCTCCAGCTTAAGTCGCCAGGACGGGTTGCTCACAACTGGAGGCTGCACCACAGCTGGCCCTGGGCTGAATCCTTCGCTGCCCCTTCAGCTCTGCCTCGTCCTCCTGAGGTCTGCCTGCGTCTGCGTCCCTTCCAGGGGGAGCTGGGCCTGTTGGGTCAGGGCCTGCCCTGAGCTCCGTCGTCCCTGCTTTACTGCCACGAAGACCCGCTTTTCTTCTTCTTACTTATTATTTTTTGGGCTGTGGTTGGAGCCCAGGGCCTTAGCACCGAACTCCCTTTTTAAAAAAGTTCGAGACAGGTCTTGCTAGGTCACCAAGCTGCCCACCTGGTGCTCCAGCCTGCACTCCTGCCTCAGCCTCCCGGAGCTGGGACAGCGGGACGCTGCTCCTGAGGGGCCACCTTGCAGGGGCCGGGGACGGGCAGGTGCGGCACGGGTCTGCCGCCCTGCGGGCTCCAGTGCTTGCTCCGCCCCGCCCTCTCCCTGTCCTGCAGAGGAGGAGCGCGTGGACATTCTCATCAACAATGCGGCCGTGATGCGCTGCCCGCACTGGGTCACCGAGGACGGCTTTGAGATGCAGCTGGGCGTCAACCACCTGGGTGAGGCTGGCATGAGCAGGCTTGGGCTCTGGGTGGGGGTCCCCACCTTGAGGGTCCTGCCCCCTGCGGGGCTCTGGGCAGCCCCCTGTGGTGCGTGCCTTTAATCCCAGCTCTTGGGAGGCTGTAAACAGGCGGATCACCATGAGTCCAAACACCCTGTAGATCCTTCCCTAAAATACAAACAAAAAAAAAAGACCTTTGGGTTATTTCTAATGGTTGGCTATCATTAAGAAACAAAACAAAACAAAAACAAACAAATTGAAAGGTTTGCTTTGGCTCACAGTTTCAGAGGCCTCAGTCCACAGCGGCTGGCTCAGTGCTTAAGGCCAGCAGGGAGGTGGAAGTAGTGTGTTGGGAGGGCACG